AATTTGAGCTACTGTACTGTATGTGTGAAAATGACAAGGTTTAGTTAGCTATATTTGTTTTTATAGGAAAATTAAACAGATGTTTTTTTGTGTATTAAATAGAAAAAAAAGTATTGTTCTTGACTCACTGATTGTTATCGCTCATTAACCAGAGATTCTTGTGGAATGGAATATTTTGTGGGAGTGAGCGTTAAGCCTGGAGATGGTTGACAAAGTTTGTTGTTGTATTGAAGGTAAAGTTCGTCTCCTTTGCTGTGTTGATTTCCAATGAAGTCAAGTGAATTGGTTTCAATATTTTAAGTGCCCACTGACCAAGTCGCGTCGAAGTTTCGTTTTTATTAGTTTTCTTGGTCACGTGGGGAGGCTCGTAAACATGTTTACATTTTATGGCGTCAACTAGAGGTCAAAATTTGGGTCGGTACCTTCGGACGTAGTTGACGCCACCTAATTAATATTTTACAACCAATCAAAATACATCAGTTGTTATATTTGGCTGGGAGCCTCTATGCGTTTAACTTGCACAAAATTTAAGATTTAAAAAAATGTAGGAATCTGATTCTACAATATATATATATATATATATATATATATATATATATATATATGTAATGGTAAGATAAAAAATCTAGATACACGCACATATACTTGCACAGGCGAATAAACATATTTCTTAATCAGATGTTATCCAACGTCGATAGCATGTCTCGGAGTTTCATGCAGTTCTTGCAATCTTCAGGCGAAAATACAATATAAACGTTATATAGTTCACGTGTTCGTGGTGATGATTTAAAATTATGTGTTAAAACTTGTTTCTTTAACTGTTGTTGCATAAAATATTATAATTAGCTATTAATAATTCAAATTCTTAAGTTCGAAAGGCGAAGATTTTTAAAAAATTAAAAAATTATTAAAATTTAAAGTTGGATTCAAAAGTAAACAACATATCAAGGGGGATAACTCTTTTTTTTAAATCAAATACCCTAGTTATACCAATTAACGCGAACTATATAACGGTCAGATTATATTTGCACCTGAAGATTGCAATAACTTCATGAAAGTCCGAATCGTGCTATCGACGTTGGATATTATGTATATTTAGTAATATATATATATATATATATATATATATATATATTGGAATTTTTGGGTACCCTGGTGTACTAGTGATCTAGCCAAAATGAGCTGACTCATTTTATAGTTCACCAACAGAAGGGTTAACCAATCAGAAGGCTCAAAATATTCAATGTGACGTGTATAAAGGCGGCCATGTTTTTTTTCCCGAATATGCACTGCCAGCCTTTGATATCGAAGACCTGAAGAATTACGGAACAGCTGCTGGTGGTATTGGCGATATAGTCAGATTCAGTAAAATATCTGACTCGAGAGTATTAATCTTTAACGTTGTTTCATTGAACAGGTTACGTACTGCGCTGTATTCTATATTCATAGACTATGGTGAACATGGTCAACATGGTATATATATATATATATATATATATATATATATATATATATATATATATATATATATATATATGCACAAAGTATAGGATTGGTGTATACGTAATAAAATCCAATAACCAAAAATACTATTCTTAAAAGAGTGCTCAATACAGAGTAGAGCAACTATAATTTATTCGAAAATTATAACATAAACATGTTATAAAATGACTACAAAAATAGCCATTTTGTTTCAACACTTCTGGTGTCTTAGCAAGTGTTGGTATTGAATGTAGAATAAAGAGTTTTACAAAGGTTCAAATCAATCAAACACCCCTTTATAGGGGAAACGCTGTTTATAACATGTTTATGTTATAATTTTCGAATAAATTATATATATATATATATATATATATATATATATATATATATATATATATATATATGTTTGTGTATGCGCACGCGTGTGTGTATGTGTGTGTGTATGTGTGTGTGTGTATGCATCTGATCAGGAGAGAAAAAGATTCACTGAGTAAGAAATGCATTAAGAGTGCACTCATCTTGCAGTTCTCAACAGTAAATCTAAGACAAGGACAATACATTATATCACTGATCATCGCAATGATCTCCACTGCCTTAACCAGGTATTGAACTCACAACTTTTGGGTCCTGTCACTGGATCTAACCAACGCCTTTATTAGAGAGCCGACTTAACAGGAGATAACTGATAACTGACATCCATTAGACATGGAATTAGAACAGCGAGCAAAATAAAGGGTTCAGTTTGACATTCTAATCACTTGAAGAAGACCGGAGCGTACAACGGCCGAAACGTTGTGATAAATATGGCAACAAAGATGAGAAAAATAGTCCGAATAATGTAAATAGTATAAATTAATCAATATAAAATATTAAAAAAAATAAAATATTAATAATAAAATTAATTTAATGTTTAAATTGTATAAGGATTATATATAAAGGTAGCATATACATTTACTATTTCTATAATACAATTCCTAAACTTAACTATTAGTAAAAAAATAAAATAAACTTTTTTTTCCGAATCACCAAAAAGAATTAAGAGTAAAAGTGGTCTATGTGTAAAAAATGGTTGACAACCACTGATTTAGAATGTAAGAATTAGAAGAGAAATTAACTCTCGTCACCGACCTTCGATTTATAAGACGCGGGGTAGTTTTTTGTAGATATTTTATAGGGAAAAAATCCATCTTCCCACAGGGACCCAACATGAAGGCCTACATCAAGTGCCTTGAAGAGGTGTTGTTGCCCTGGGTCAAGAGGGTGGCTGCTAGAAGACCCTATGTCTGGCAATAGGACTGACAAGCAGGAGAACCCAGTCATGGCTGTCAAAGAATTTCTGTGACCACATCACACCTTACATCTGGCCAACTAACTCCCCAGACTACAACCCCCTTGATTATTATGTGTGGGGCGCAGTTGAGCGAAAGACCAACAAAACTCCTCGGAACACCAAAATGAACTGGAGATAAGGATTATGACAGTATTCACCAACTTAAACAAGGAGACCATCCAGAAGAGTTGCAGGAGATTC